AGCAGGAGGACAACCCCCACAGCATCAGCAGTAAGGTGTTTCTCTGGCACTGCTGTAGCCAAGTACCTCCAGATATATTTGTAATCTTGCTGGTGGATTAAAAATTTCCTGGTTGCCTGAAGAATTTTCAGGATGAAGATGTTGTAGTTGGGCTCAGTGGTTGAGCTGTGCCTTACTTACACAGGAGAGCTCATGTTCCAGCATGCCAGATAGAGCAAGGACTTCTTCCAAATTTAGCTATGCAAAATCAAGCCTTTCCTGACAAAGGCTTAGTTTATTATTAGTCTCAGAATCACAAGAGTTTGTCATAAGTTACCTACAGTTCCCACTTATGCTTGTGCACAATTTTAATTAACTTTTAGAATTACTAAAATTATCAAAGTTGTTGTTACCAAATTCATAAGACCATCTCAATTCACAATACTTGAAATGCAATTTATTAAGAAATTCAGTTTTACACTGTGCCAGAGAAAGGTCACTACATTGGAAATAGAGCTGGCACTGGCATTTGCCTTTAGACAGGTAACTTCTTGAATTGATGTGCAGAATGTGAAATAATGGCATCTGTATTTCCCCAGTGCTCCATCTAAAGATGTCAAGCTGTTGATTTTTATTATTTTTGATTAACAAAATTGAGAAGGGTGCATCACTGCTGGATTTCTCAAAACAGTAATTTTAAAAGTTATGTGCTAGGTGACTTCAGGTGTATGCTGCACAGCTGTAAGGTTTCTGTCTTCGTAGCTTTGCTTGTCATTAAATCATTGGCCTGCAGCTGGAGGACTTCCTGCCACTGCCACTGCATCCTGATGTACCCTGTCACTGAACATGAGAATCTCCCTCCTCCTGTTGCCACAGAAGTTTCCAGCACATCTTTGGCTGAATTTCTGATAAGTGGCACCATGGCCAAGCCTGAAAAGGGGCAGACCAAGGACTGCCCAGCCTGCTGAAAGCCCCTGGGACAGAATCCATGGAGCAGAAAAAGCCACTTTTTCCTGGATGCATGTGGGGATGGTGCCTTCTGCAAGCTTCACTCTCTGAAGAGCAGAAAGTGGGGTATGTGTTGGTTTGGGATCACATGTCCTCCTGGAATGGAAGGAGGGAATTCTGCAATTGCAAGTAGAAAAGCCTTGTGATCTTTGAAAGCCACAGTCAATTTATTTTTTTTTAATTCTTTTTTTTCTCATTGAAATGTATTTTTTTCACTTAGGTGCAAATTCCCATTTCTCTGAAACATACTGTGTGAAACATTGATCCCTCTTTTGCACTGGCTGGTTTATGGGCAGGGCCCTGGGTGGGAGCTGGGCTTGGCTGGAGAAGCTGCTCGTGTTGGATGGTGGGTGGAACAAGGGAGAAGGTGAGATGGGAGAGGAGGGGATGGGCTGACACAAAAACTTCACTAGATGGAGAGGGAATCAACTGGAAAATAGATTTTGAGAGAGACTAGGGAGGAGTTGTTTTCACATCATATTTTTTCACTAAAAGGAGTGTTTGTAAATGATGTTAGGAAGACAAGGAATGGTGGGAAAGGTGGTTTTAGTTGTAGACATGCTGCTTTGTGGTACACAAGCATGGGTCTGTTCTGTTCTGCAGTATTTTTAGGATGCTTCCAGGGAGCTGTCCTGACAAATAACTGAAGTCTACGTACTACTACTGGTGTTTACGGATGTCTGTTGCTCAATATCTATCCTGCTTCAGGATTTCCATGTGGGGAAATTTCTAAGACATGAGGCTATCAAGTAGAGGGTGGGAATCATTCTTCTATTTTAGGATAATAAGATGACATTAGGGACTGCTACTTCATCTTCCTGAGCAGGTTTGTTCATGCTTTTGAGACGTGAAAATGAAACCAGCCCGTGATGGCTGGAGTCAAACTTCTGCCTGTGGATGGAGATGTAGCACAGCTGAGCTATGAACTGCGACGTGTGCAGGGCTGGTGCTGCTCACAGGGCTTCGGCTGGAAACTAGGACCAGGCACTGGCAAGTGAAAATAAAAACTGCAGCAGCGTGAAGATTTGTGACTGAACTGTTGTCATACACAAGGCTGGCATGAAGCCTTTCTTCT